CTGAGTCCCTCAGCACATCTCTCTCCATATGGACATATGGCAGTATCGAGTCTTGGTTAGGCACATGCTGTTGTAGTCAGTTATCCTGAGGCTTAAATTCCAGCTCTGCCATTGACCATGACCTCCAGGGCAGGTGACTAAACCCACCCGGGCCTCAGTTTTATCTCCAAGTGGGGAAAAGAGTACCTATAGTTCAAAATATCGTTAAGTGCTTAGAATAGAGTGCATTCCAATACACCTTTCCTGTTATTGTTACAGAAGAAACACAGTGGAATGGAGAAGAAAATCTACTTTCAAAAAGCAAGGATTCAATACTGGAGCAGGGTGTTGACCTTAAAATGGAAAGTTCCAGAGAGCAGGGTTGCATGTTTTCAAAGAGACTCCTGCTTCCTCCCAGCATGTAAGTGAACTAGGGAAGTGGCAGGGGGCCGGGAAAGAGCTCCACGAGTGCCCACTCCCTGGGAGCTTTCTGTCATCACTCAGTGAGCCGCTCAGTGACCCCGTGAGAAGGGTGGCGGTGGTCCTGTCTGACAGCTGAGGAAACTGGAACCAAGCCAGCTCCTCGGACTCTCACAGCAGGGAACTAGGCTCAGACCTGGGCAGCCAGCAGGCCCCAACACTACGCCCGACGCACTGCCTCCAACGTGTGGTTTCCCCAATCCCAGTGATTCATGGAAACACTTTCAAGAGTCTACGTGGGAGTGAGTGAGTGGAAAAGGGAGACGATGAGGGCTCTAAGGCGCTGTAAGGTGGGTGCTCCTATCATATACCCATCAGGACGCCACATGCTTCCCAATTCACACACGCCAGGCGGAAGTTGAAGTCGACTGGACAACGGCGAATTATGGGGGATTGCAACAACAACAGAACACCCAAAGGAGCCCCCCCACCGCCACTTAGACACAGCCTCCACAAGTGGGCAAAAGCCTAAGCTTCTGAGTCACAGCTACTTGTCAAGGTAACTTGTAGGCACAGCTTTCTGAGATACTACTTCATTTTTACCCTCTCCAGCAAATGGAGGATTACCTACTGGGTAAGATCAGTCCTTCTTGAGTAAAACAAAGGGCTCCGAGTCCCCTGATTCTGGGCTGAAAATATGAGGCTGGGCCAGCTGGACCACAGTGCCCAGAGGGCAGATGTGGAAAGAATTTTACACTCCTCATCACCAACTGGAACATGGTAGAGAACCACCTTCAGACTAAGATTCCACCGTGTTAGATTCCGTCAGGGCAACCGGATTGAGCAGTGCCATTCTCCACCTGTCTCTGTGCTAGAGGAAACAAGTGTCAGAAGGCTGGAAACCAGTCCTCTGGCTGGTCTCAGAAATATGGCAAGACGTTTCCATGGACAAGTTGCACAAGCCAGGCATGAATCCACATGAGTCCACAACTTACACACTCAGACAAAGTTCCTTGGCTTCAAGCTGTCTTTTAAAAAAAGTAGGCATGGGGGTTCGATTTGTTTTCTTATGAAACATTAAGTCCTCCACCCCCCCTCAATCAAAGGGCTCTTTTTTGTTATCCTTTCTCATGGGATTATCTTATCTAAAGCATTTCAATTTTAAAAGACCCTCTTAGCCAGTGATGTTTTCACCAGGCCCAGCCACACCAAGAACTTTCTCAAGTTCAGGTTCACCGCATGTCTAGACAAAGCAGGAGGCCGAGACAGAAACGGGCAAGTGGCTGAGGACAAACTGGACTGAGGAACCAGATGACTTGGTGAAACCAGAGAAACATGAACTGGCCCTTCAGGTTTTCTATTTCCCCTCCTCGACAAAATCGGATGCAAAGATTTACTCCATGAATCATTTGGGGGAAAAACAATTTCAATTGAAGTCATGAAGCTTAAGTAATGAGATTAAAAAAAAAAATTGCACTATTTTTAACACTCACTGGTTTCCCAGATCAGAGAGAACGGCCTGGCCTCAGCAGTAACCAAGGGTCACAGCGTTTTCCTCTCCGCGTGAAGAGATGCAAAATCGTCCAGGTGGGAACCGCACATGCAGAAATGATGAAACCCTCCCTGTGCGGCTGAACAGCAATAGCTGCACATTATAAAAACACACACACTCAAGACCCACACTTGCTATTAGGTCAACAGATTTTTGCACCAGGCACCAAAGCAATCCAACAGGAAAGTTCTCCACAAATAGTGCTGGCGTAACTGGATACCCTCCGGGAATGAAGGGACCTCAACCCCTGTCTCACACCATACACAAAAAATATTAATTCAAGATGGACCCCAGACTTAAACATAAATGCTACAACTAACTATAAAGCTTCTTGAAGAAACATGAAAGAGTAGTTTTACAACGTGGGGGTTCTTAGAAAGAATAAGGAAAAAGTTGAAAACAGACTTCTTTAAAATTAAAAACTTCTGGCCAGGAAAAGATACTGTTAAGAAAATAAGTCGCTGGGAGAGTACATCATGAATGTTCTCACCACAGAAAGATGGCGTTGTGACGGTGGGGTTGGCTGTGCTACGGTGGTGATCCTTTGGCAAGGTATGGGTGTATCAAGTCATCGCACTGTGCACTTTAAACTTACACGTTATATGTCAGTTGCATCTCAGTAAAGCTGGAAAAAAGAAAAGAAACAAGCCAGCCATAGACTGGGACTAAAAATTCGCAAGCCAGCTATATGACAAAGGACTGGAGCTACTGGAACTCTCTTACGTTGGTGAGAGTATGATCAGACCATCCTACAAAAGAACGCTCTTCAGCTTTGTCCTCCGGGCTTGCCTATGGTGCGCAGTAATTTGCTCATGCTAAATTGTAACTCCTCTGCTATTCCCGAATAAGCACATGTGCTGCTTGATAACCTTTGCTGTTTAATTTTTAAGGTTGACGATGTTCAGGTTGCATTCATCAGAACTAATAAAATGTTCCACTATAAGTTTTATCCCCACTGACCCCCAAATATAAACAAACACTAGACTCTGACTAATGGCAAGCATGCTGAAGTATCTGGGGCAGGGAGTGTACTGATGTTTTCAACTTAGAAATGCACCAAAAACTAAGATGAATCGATGTGATGGATGGATAGAAGGATGGCTGAATGGTTATGTAATAACACAAATATAACAAAATGGTAACTGCACAATCTAGGTGGTATGTAAATGGGTGCTCACTGAACAATTCTGTGTATGTCTGAAATTTTTCATAAGAAAATGTTGGGGGAGAAATAGACAAATACAAAGCTATAAAAATGGACGGGCTGCAGCCCTCGGTCTCCGCCCCAGCTCCAACATCAAAGAACTACAAACCTGTCGCAGGGAAACGCGGAGGGCTCCACCCCACACCTGACCCCAGATCTGGCTGCAGGGTTCCAGAAATCCCGGAACCACAGCACCAGCACTACATGCCGCTGGGCCTCAGTATCAAGGCCAAAGAACTGTCCCAGGGTTTTATGGCCAGAAGAGACATCAAGAAAGCCTGCTGTGTATGTACGGAAGGGGCAAAGGGCCAACCTAGTTCACTTGTTTAAGTCACTTGAGACAGTTGGGAAAATGGGGGCCGGGGCGTGTGTGAGGGCCCTGCTGGGTATTTAATTCTAAGCCAAATTCCACGTGACCATACCTATGTCAGCTCTAGCTACCAGAAACAGATACAGTTAGGGTTTCAGATAGAAAGCGTAATCTTCAAATAGAACTACAATTTATATGCTGTATATGCTGGACATTTTACATAATTTCACATATTTCACATATCCTTGCATTCATCACGTAAGATAGGTTTACTATCCTGATTTTATGATTGAGGATATTGAGGCTCAGAGAGGGTAAATAATGTGTTCAGGAACACAGAGCTGGAGCTGGAACACACACTCTGGAGCACAGGCCCTTTCTAGAAAGCACTCCTTCCCAAGCCCCTCTCTGGACCAGGAGTGGCATGGGTGCAACCTGTGTGTTCGCAAAGTTTTTTGAGCAGGAAGCTTAGGGTTTCAGGGGACAATGAAGAATCTCATTACCTTAGGGCAAGAAGCCTGCTCTCTCCCACGGAAGACCGGGGGCTGTCAGACCACCATCCATCTGCGTGCTGATGGTGCCCTCGTGTGTACTTTTCATAAGTACGCCAATCACAGTCTTCGGTAGGTTTTCCCTCTTGTTCACTAGTTAAAAAGAAGTGTCAGGCACAAGTGTTTGTCCCCGTGAGTTTCAATGACGTGGCGGAAGTACAGCAGCACCCTTTAAGCCCCTCCTTCCATGTCTTCCTTTCCTTCATCTTTACCCTCCCTTCGCCTTTACCCTCTTAGCTGTGAGCAGTGAGCAACAGCTTTAGAAGGGCTGGGAGCTCCTTCCAGCTGGGTTTGGGTTTGTAACTCCTGGGGAAGGGAGAGGAAGTGGAAGGGGAGATGTTAAGAGGCTCTTAATGGGGGGTAGTGTGGGGGTGGGAGTGTCTTACAAATCTGAATTCTCATAACGCCAGGGATTCTGAGCCCAGCTGTGAGAGCTCAGGTTCCTCCCATGTGGAAAAGATGCAGACCCTCCCGCATAGCCATGTACCAGAGAGCTTAACTCCAGGCGCCCGACTCACTGGCAGGAACAGGGGTTACAAGTGAAAAAAAAATCCATAAACACCAGGCTTGATGACTTACCAGAGATCTTTAGAGAGAAACGACACCTATGTAGAAATCAAATACATCATTTACTTATTAAAAAAAAGAGAGAGAAAGGAAAAAACCAGAATTCTATGAAAATGTCTTTAATTTTCATCTTTTGGAAATACATTTTTCATTTTCATTTCCATGATACAAAAATGTTAAATATCTAACAATGATCTATATGAAGCAGCTCTACTGAAGTAGACCCATGGAATTCTGCTTGTGATCTGCTTCAACAAAGAAAGGGCTGGTACACGTAGATTTGTCATGATTTCACACACACACACACACGCACGCACGCGCACGCACGCACGCACATGCCACCTTACACCCAGCCAGTCACTTAAACAGAGGAGACAACCAAGCTAAGACACTGACAAGTGAACACAGAACTAAATATAAAAACAGAAATTAACTTTTTTACTTGTCCTGCCATGAGAAACTCACATCTTAGGAAAAATAACTCTAAATAAATATGCCCCAAGGCCAAGGCATATGTTAAGCTCCTTTATGGGTTGATGTGGGTAGAGATTTTCCTACTGGAAAAATAAGCTTGAGAGCTCCATATTTTCAGGCATCGAAGGTAGGAAGCAGACGGACACAAACTGATGTCTCCACTGGGACAAGGTGACCACGTGCTATGAGTGCCCCCGAATCTGAGTACAAGTCGGTGTTGAGAACCTCTTGCAGCAGGAAGTTGGAGTTCAAGCCCAAATTCATGATTGCAGAACCCAGGAACATCAGCTCTTTCTGCGTATTTCACAGCTGACATTCCCCATCAGGTGGATTCCTGAACACACTAAATTCATGACAGGGAAGGTTTCCCATGAGCAATGAATAACTGATTAATAATGTACACGTTCACAACAGCCCAGAATTGTGCTGAGTGTGAGCAGACAGTTTACATTAAAAAGAGAGGGGAAAAAAAAAACACAGCCGCAAAAAATAAAAGCTGGGGTTTTTTTTTCAAGAGACACACCTGGTTTCAAAACCCTCCCACACCACACTTATTAGACACAGTATGGCTTCCCAACGTGCCGGCTGGCTCTTTCTCAGCTACAGCACCCACGATTTGTTTCGCTCAGGTCTTTGTTACCACGTGTCAGGAACTTCAAAGAGCTTGGCAGAGCTGTCCGAGATGCTTCCTGGCGGGAAAGGACAAAACAAGATGAACAAGGGGAGAACAGAACAACCAGCTTGGGGGGGGCGGGGCGCGGCTGCACAGACACAATGGGAAAGTCTGTGGAGAGCAGTGCTCTGCAAACAGAGGTGATGCCATAGACACATCACAGGTAGGCTTACTGAGGTGTCTCCCTCCCGCTTGGCTGCCTGTTTATTTTATGGGACCTAACATGATGAGATGCTTACGTCTCCCCCTGAGCACACACACACTATTCTTCGCTAGCCACCATGCTGGGCACTTAGTTCATTTGCTCTTCAGAAAAGCTGCTGTTATCAATATCCCCATTTACAAATGCAAGAACAGGTTCAGAAAGGCTAGGTGAGTGGCTGAGATGGGATTTGGGTCCTTCTACAGCACTGAGATCTCCGCCACAGTCCCAGAAGCTCGATTTCTGTGTTCTGTGGTTTATGAGAAATTCCAGGGTCTCTTGGCTATAGGATGGAGGGTTCAGAGACCCGAAAAGGGGCAAAAGCAGCTTGCAGCAGCCTTTTCCGATCTCAGCAACACTGGCTAAGGTTTTCCTGTACTGAAGGGGTGCCTCTTCCATTATAAACAGCTTTACCCCAAAGTTAGAAGCCCTTCTTCTCCATTCGTTACAGCAGGAGCAGTAACTGGATTAGCGCCTGGAGCACCGATGTCCAGAGCGGAGTGAGTGGGAACTAAGTAAGGAAAGGGTGTGTTCATAATAGAATGTGTGACAGACCAGGGCTCCTGCACCTCTGGTGTCCTGCAAGAGTCAAGCCATACACTGAAGGGCTGGCAGTGAAAACTGGCCGAGCCAACCCCAGCTGCTAACACTCCAAGATTTCAAAAGGGAGGAGGTCTTTGAAAATGGGGAGTAGCTCTTAAAAAGAGATGGGGTTTGGCATCCCACAAAGTAGGAGATTGCTCGGCTGAGAGCA